CAATGGAAAATCCAGTTCCACTTTTAATGTTAACTGCCTTCCCCCAAAAAGAAAAAGCACAGATGGAGCCTTTTAAGAAAGATGCGTCATAACTCTTTTCCACAGAGAGAAGGTGCACAATTCTGGAGCTTGAGGGTAGTGTGTAGGCAAAGGTGGCACTGGCCTGGCCTTCAACTGTGAGTGGAAATGAAGGTGGCAGACTTGGGGCACCGGGACCTCGGGTCTCCTTGTCGGCAGATCCCCCTGCATCACTAGGAAAGCTGTCTCTCCCTGTTGATACCAGTGCTGATGGTAGACAAGGTTTCATCTATGGTAAGGTCCTCTTCCAGGATTCCCTAACATAGAAGAGGGGCCTGAGATCCTAGAGAGGGTAAGGGCTTTTATTGTTTCGGAGGAGAAAGAGAAACCATCCCATTTTTCTGGGATGTCTATATTCTGGGTAATACGCACCAAAGGAGGTCAGTGTCCTGCCACCCCATCACAAGAATGGCTATCCCTGACATGTGTGGAGGGATTTACAAAGTGAATTCACAAACATCAGATTTAATTCCCCTGACAGCCTTGACAGATAAGCAAAGAAAGTGTCACTACTCCATTTATGGATGAAGGTATTAAACACTCCTTTTGTGGGTTTTCTTCTCCCTCCACATTTAGATAAATGGCATTTTGAGTGTCCTAGTCAAGTAAAGCCCAGGGGACTTGCTCAGAGGCAGGCCCCCTGGTTGGCAAGGGAGGCACAGAAAGCTAGAGGTCAGGGCCAATGGCTCTGCTAAAGCCCCTTCATGTGCAGGCCCCGAAGCATGTCTGTATCTGATCTCACTTGCTTCTGTGTTATGTTAAAATCTTGGGTCCTATCTCTATCTCCTTGATTTTTTAGCATCACCACCCTTCCTCCAAAATGACAGGAATTACCTACTTCCAGGTGCTGGGACAGTGGAACAGGGTGGCATTGGATCTCCAGTGGCGGGACAATGGCGGCAAGTGATTATCACAGTGTGGTTCCAGGAAGGCTGGAACCCACAGCCTCCCACAAGGCCCTTCCTGGGTGGGCTATGTGAACAGTGACTTGCTCATAGTTTTAGGAAGGCTGGTCTCACTTATCCCTTCCTATGTAGACCTGCCCCAGAGTGCTCCACATCCATCTTGTTGAAACCTCGCAACTCTTGGAGGTAAATACTACAACTATGGGCATGGTACAGATGAGGAAACCAAGACTCAGAATATAGGTTATTTGCTCTAAGTCACAGCTGTTAGGCAACCGAGCCTGGATATCAAATCAAGTCCATTTGCTTTATCTCCCAGTGCAAGTTCTAGGGTCCCCTGGGCCCAGGACAGTACATGGCAGTTCTCTCAGGGTGTGTGTGTGTGTGTGTGTGTGTGTGTGCGCGCGTGCGCGCGCGCAGGGTTGGATCATAACCTAGGTCTCAGGGTCAGAGGCAGGATTCTCAGGGGCTCTTAAGCCTCAGTCCTTTGTTCCAAACTGGTGACACCACCAGAAAGGCAATTTCAGTGGAAAACTCCTTTTGGTAGTGCACAATGCCCAAAGGCAGAGGCCAAGTCCCTAAAAAAACTACAGACCACTCTAACTTCCGGCTGGAGAAGCTGGACGGGACGCTGCTGGGTTAGGGCACGGGGAGGAGCATCCTTGGCGTTTACGCAAAGAGGCAGAAGGGAGCACCTGAGCTCTTGGAGATTTTGCAAAGCCGCTAAGGAAGCAGGCTGAGGATGCGGGAGTGGGGAGGATGAGAACGCGATTTGGCTCTGGGCTGGAGCGGGGAGAATAAGGATAAATGCTCCGGGCCGGAAGGATCCCAGCGCCCGCTGTCTTTCCTCCTGGGCGGAGGCCAACGCGTAGGGCCACTACAATGCACGGCTTCACTAGTTGAAGCTTCTATGTGGGCGCCCATTTGATGGCGTGTGTGGGATGGGGGTTGGGAGTTAGGCTCTGGCCTTGAAGTCCCTGATAATTAGGATCCCCGTGCACGCGTGAAGTCCACACCCGAAAAGGAAACTGAGAACGCGTGCTGGCTGTTGGCAAATTTTCCGCGCTCGTAGACACATCTCGAAATGAGCTGGTGCACGCGGCTCCTGCGCAGATGCAGAAACTGAGGGCGGCAGAGGAAGAGGGGCTTGCTCAAGGTTATAACGCAAAGGAGTGCCGGAGCCAGATGGACCTTGGTCAAATGTGGAATGAAAGAGTTTGGGAATTCGAAGGGCGCTTGAATCCGCCGGCGAAAGAAAACGCACTCAGATGCGTGGGTGTTGGCGACTCCCCACATTTTGCTGAAGAGGAGTGGATAGGGCACGGGAGGCTTCTCCTAGACGCCTCCTAGCGGCCTGCACCCGGGCCTCACAGCGGGTGCCCGTGGGTGGGGAGCAGGGCCTGAGCAACCGTCACTTCTCCAGGTGGTCTGAGGCTTCCTCGGGGAGGAAAGCGGTGGTGTGGCTCTGTTTTAGGCCCCACAACCTCCGCAAAAGTGACCTTGGAGTCCTCTCCACTCCTTTCCTGGGGTGGGAGGAGAGGACAGAGGTGTAAATCCCACCGCGTCCAGCTGTCCTCTGGGGTCAAGCCACAGGTTACTGTGCGGGCGGGGACAGTGTGGGGAAGGAGGTTTACAGAACTGGTCTCTGTTGGCATGGTTCCGTCCGATGCTTCCCAAACCCACACGTTTTCAAAGGCAGAGGAGAGCGGTGCTTCATCTCCGGAGCCATCCGTCCTTACTGCCCATCACCAACCGCTATTGTTCTGGCAACACTCCCGCAGCCAGTCACACAGACCACAGGCGGCTCCTTGGGTCACCCCCACAGATCCTTTAGAAAGACCCTTCTCCACAAAGGGAAGTCCAACGAGAAGCAATTATTTGGATAATTCCCCACAATCATCCCTCCTTTCAGGTCTCTGATCAAAACTGTCTATCTCTACCGAACAAATTCACCGGATGATTACCCTCTTCTTCCTTCTGTCTATGTAGACGCGACCTGAGACGCGCCCCAGTCTCCTTCCCCTGCCTCCACCAGAGCCGTGCAGAGATGGGACCGGTGGCTGGGTCCTCATTCTCCGCAGAGCAGCGTCCCAAGGCGTCCCAAAGCTGGACCCGGCTCTGGCCAGAGAGCGCCAGGGCCGAGGCCCAGGAAGGGCGCCTGGGTGGGCGCTGTCCAAGCGGCCGAGCGACCGCTGCAAGCGCCTCCCCCTCCCTCGCGGCGCCAGCACGCGGCCCCGCCGGGCTCCGCTCCCAGTCGCCTGCCACCGGCCCGCCGGGCACACGCCTGGGGCGGGATGGAGGCTGCGCCAAGGCCGCCGAGGTGCCTGCGGCGGCGCCGAACAACCAGAGAAGCTGAGAAGCTCCTCTGGCCCTTCAGCCTCCACCCCCCACCCCCATCTCTTTTCTCAGATCCACCATGGGAATACTCCAGAGCGCTCCCCTCTTTACGCATCCCCCAGCCGGTCCGGAAATAATCCTTTGAGAAGGGAGGCGATGCTACAGGCAACCGAGGTCATGAGGGCTGGGGTGGGGGGTGGGTATCGCTGCCATACACCTATGTATAGCTCTGATCACAACCACCCCTCAAGGAGATCACCTCCAGTCTTGTTGGTCCCCTCCACATTTGCTCAATTGTGGGGAGTAGATCTTAGTTTTTACACCTGGATGGGACATTGGAGACCATCTAATCCAAACTCCTATTGCTACAGATGAGGAAACTGAGGCTCGGAACGGATGCCACTTACTAAGGGCCACAGAGCTAGCGAGAGGATGTGTTGGGACTAGAACCCAGTCTTAACGGTACTTTTATTTACTTCAACAGTCCAGTAATTCCCAGGGAGTTCTCTCCATCTTTCTAAACTTCAATCGCCAATTTGCTTTAGCTTCTCCAAACAGCAAAGACGCTGAAGAGAGTGACAGTAGATAGGAGAAGAAAGCTGGAAAAATAGAGCCCCATTCTCCCCAACCTGCACACCCGACCCGTGGCACTTTTTCTGCTCAAACCCTTCTCTGTGCTTTGCTCCAAGTTCTCAGGAGAATCCCGAGGCACTTCACCCCAAACATTTCCACCCATACACCCCCAATTCCCAGGGCCATTGGCCCCTCCAGCGACGCTGCCCCCCCTTTCTAGAGCCACCCCCGGCTGCTGCCCGCCCTGAGCGCGCCGCCTGTTTATTCAGCCGGGAGTCCGGCACGCGCCAGGCGCACGCACTGCAACAACAAACCCGGCTGAATGGAGAGTTTGCAAGGAGCGGGCGCAGGGACTGCGCGGGGGGGAGGGGAGAGGAGGAGGGAGAGTTTAGGGAGTGGGTGGGAGGAGGAGGTAGGAGCAGGGGGGGAGTGGGGGCTGCAGCCGCTTGCTGCAGCAGCGGGGAGTGGGGGGCGAGGCGGGGCCAGGGCTGCGCGTGGGGCTGGGTGTCCCATTGAAAAGGCGGACGCACTCCGGCCGCCCAGCACTCTCTCACTTCTGGCCAGGGAACGTGGAAGGCGCGCCGACAGGGGACCGGCCAGGGAGGGCGAGTGAAAGAAGGAAATAAGAAAGAAAGGGAGTTAACAAAATAATAAAAACAGCCTGAGCCACGGCTGGAGAGACCGAGACCCGGCGCAAGAGAGCGCAGCCCTAGGGGGCGAGGAACGGGAGACTCAGCAGAGCGTGCTCACCACTGACTTTTGCTTCTTCTGCCTTTTTTTTTTTTTTAAACAAGAAGGCGCTAGCGGCAGCCTCACACGCGAGCGCCACGCGAGGCTCCTGAAGCCAACCCGCGAAGGGAGGAGGGGAGGGAGGAGGAGGAGTGGAGGGAGGAGGAAAAGCGTTTGCACCTTCTCTGCTCCCACCCTAGGAAGTCTCCCGGGGATTTTGTATTTTCTTTTTTTTAACTTCCCTCCGGCCTCCCTCTTCATCTCTCCCCTTCTTTCCCTCTCTGTTCGTGCACCCAAGTCCTGTCTGTGTCCCCTCGCGCGTCCGCACCTCGCGTCCCCGCTTGCTCCCATTCCGCGACTCCTTGGCGGCCGCTGCGCATGGAGAGCTCTGCCAAGATGGAGAGCGGCGGCGCCGGCCAACAGCCCCAGCCGCAGCCCCAGCAGCCCTTCCTGCCGCCCGCAGCCTGCTTCTTTGCCACTGCAGCGGCGGCGGCGGCGGCGGCAGCGGCGGCGCAGAGCGCGCAGCAGCAGCAGCAGGCGCCGCAGCTGAGCCCGGCGGCCGACGGCCAGCCCTCAGGGGGCGGTCACAAGTCAGCGTCCAAGCAAGTCAAGCGACAGCGCTCGTCCTCGCCCGAACTGATGCGCTGCAAACGCCGGCTCAACTTCAGCGGCTTCGGCTACAGCCTGCCGCAGCAGCAGCCGGCAGCCGTGGCGCGCCGCAACGAGCGCGAGCGCAACCGCGTCAAGCTGGTCAACCTGGGCTTTGCCACCCTTCGGGAGCACGTCCCCAACGGCGCGGCCAACAAGAAGATGAGCAAGGTGGAGACGCTGCGCTCCGCGGTCGAGTACATACGCGCGCTGCAGCAGCTGCTGGACGAGCACGACGCGGTGAGCGCCGCCTTCCAGGCTGGCGTCCTGTCGCCCACCATCTCCCCCAGCTACTCCAACGACTTGAACTCCATGGCCGGCTCGCCGGTCTCCTCCTACTCGTCCGACGAGGGCTCCTACGACCCACTCAGCCCGGAGGAGCAAGAGCTGCTCGACTTCACCAACTGGTTCTGAGGGGCTCGGCCTCGTCAGGCCCTGGTGCGAATGGACTTTGGAAGCAGGTAGGTCGCATTTAGGAGTGAACAGGATGATTTTCTTATCCTCCTCATTTTTCCTCCGTCTTAGTGTCAGGAGGAGCGGGACTGTCTCCACGGAGGTTGGGGGAGGGGGTGGCTGATTTAAAGAATTTGTAAAAAGTTTGTCGATTTCAAATGCTGGTTTGTTAGTTTCAGTATTGGCCTCTGAGAGTGGCTTTGCCCAGTTCGCTAAGGACTGAGGGTGGGGTGAGGTGGGGGGATGCTGGAGAACCGAGTACTCCGACCTGTCAAAAGAGGTGCTCTACCTGACAGATCCTCTCCCAAACCTCCACTTTCCCCCACCGCCAGCCTCCAAGTTCACACTAACCTCTCCCCTTCTTCTTAAGTTATAGGGTGACCGCACAACCTGCATCTTTAGTGCTTTCTTGTCAGCGATGTTGGAAGGGAGGAAAAAAAAAGAAAAAAGAAGAAGAGAAGAAGGAAAGAAAAGCAAAACAAAATAAAATCAGGCAACCAACCCCAAGACCAACTAAGCAATGCATGCCTGAGAAGCAAGGCTCTCTCGCAAAACGGGGATGTGCTCAGAACTGTTACCTTTGCACTCCAATCATTTACGGAGCTACGAAGGGTGACTAGGACCTGAGTCAGAGCGCAGAGTGCAGCTTGTGTGCAAAAGCAGTGGGCTCCTGGCGGAAGGGAGCAGCACAGCCCTATAGAAACTCCCACCCACCAGTAACAGGCAGAACAGAAAGCACTTGCTAGGGTGCCTTCACCTCCCCGCTCTCTCTGAAAGCGCAGTTCTTAGTCCTGTAGAAATGGGTTGGTGTCTTTCGTCTCAGTATCCCCCATCCCAATAAGCTGTGGACATTTGTCTGCAGTGAAGTTATGCTCTACTCAGTCCTTTGAAACTCCGATCCCTGGCGGGGGGGGGGGCTTCCCTAAACCCCATTTCCTCACACCATCTTTTCTACCATTTTCATCATAGAATGCTTCCAATCTTTTGTGAATTTTTTTATTATAAGAAAAATCTATTTGTATCTATCCTAACCAGTTTGGGGATATATTAAGATATTTTTGTACATAAGAGAGAAAGAGAAAAAATTTATAGAGTTTTGTACAAATGGTTTAAAATGTGTATATCTTGATACTTTAACATGTAATGCTATTACCTCTGCATATTTTAGATGTGTAGTTCACGTTACAACTGCCATTTCCCCTATGTGGTTTTGTAAAGAACTCTCCTCATAGGTGAGATCAAAAGGCCACCAGATGTACTTCAGCACCAATGTGTCTTACTTTATAGCAACTTTGTTAATGTATTAATGATGTTATTAAATACTGTTCAAGAAGAACAAAGTTTATGCAGCTACTGTCCAAACGTAAAGTATGGCAGCCAGTTGGTTTTGATAGGTTGCCCTTTGGGAAATTTCTATCACTGCCTTTTTTTTTCTTACTGTTTTATTACAAACTTACAAGAAACGTGTATAACCCTGTTTTATACAAACTAGTTTCGTAATAAAACTTTTTTCTTTTTTTACAAATGAAAATAATCAGCTGCCTCCAAGTCTTCCTTGACTCTGCTGTCCCTGTCCAAGTTATTTTCGAAATGCCAAAGGAAAGGAGCGGGCGGGGGACAAGAGGGTGGTATAAAACATGTCAAGTGGCAGAAATGAGCAAGATAAGTGCTATGACCAGTCCTACCCGAGGTGACTCCATAATGAATGTAGAGGGAAAAGACATACATAAGCTGTACAAAGCAAAGACAGCTTTCTTCCCCTTTTATGCTGCAAACATACACATGTACCTCAAGAACAGGTGCTGAATAATGGCTGCAACATCTTTTGATGAGATGATTGTATATTTTTTAAAGCCCCCAGAATGTGAACTGGAAGGAGAGGGTCCTCACCTTACTTTCTAACCCTTACCCCCATTCGGAGTTTCTTTTTGTGAAACTGGAAAGACTGGATGGAATAATGGACACTAGGGGTGGGTGGAAGCCTGGTGGTACTGGAGCTTGGGCATGTGGGAGGTAGCCCCCGTAGTCTTCCCAGTGATGCGTGTGTTCTTCCTTCACTCCTAGGCACACGTTTTCTCGTCCTTTGCCCCACTCCACACACTTTCCATATTGATTTTAAGTAAAGGACACATAAGATATGATTTCCTTGTAGAAGGAGTTAGATTTAAATGAATAAAAGCCTTAGAAATGTGTGGTCGCTTTGAGACACTGGCCTATCTGAGCTTGTGACTCTATCCGAATAGCGTGAGCTGCGTGTAAAAGTACCCAATTACCAAGATTCAAAAAGAAATTGGTGGGTTTTTGGCTGGCTTGCTTCTTGTCAGTTAGCAAGGACGTGATCAGAATCCTACCCCCTCTCTCGCCGGCTCCTCGCTCGCCGCCTGCATTACTTGCAGATTCAGTTTGCGTGTCTCCAGCCAAGCGGAAAGCCTAGCGCAAAATGCATCTTACAAAACCCAACAAAGAACGGAGAGCCAGCACGTCTTCCAGAGTTAAAAATCTAGTCTGTGTTGGTACATCTATACCATTTAGTGGCACAGAATAATCATTTTTTAAAGCCGCGATGCATGGAGCACGCCACAGCGTCTGATGTCATTTTGCTAAATGACCCTCTATAGAATGCACATTGAAGCTTCAGTCCCTTTCAAAGAGATGAACGTAATTAAGGGGAAAAAAAATCAGTAAATTCCTCATCGCCATAAATAATCGGACTTTCTGCCAGCAGTGGGCCAATTTAGAGCTTACTTGCGGGAAGTAATGCTTTTGTGATGCCTGCTTTTATTTTTATCTTCTCATTTGGAGGACCAGAGCTGGGGTTCCCCCCCATTTCTTTTTCTTTTAATTTAGCTCCTTTGCAAGTTTCCAGATAAGGTATGCAAAGAAAGTGTAGCAAGTCATTTATGGCTATGAATATAACATTAGGATAATGTTTCAGCCCCCACAAAGGGGATTTTTCCCCTTCTCCTTGTGAAGACAGGTGTTCTTTTACTCACTTCTGAATGGGAAATATCCAGTCTCGTTAAACTCGAGGCAAAGTTAGCCGTTGTTTGCCACAATGCGAAGGCAAACTCTAAAAATTCACAAAAACACACACAATTTTGCCGAAGCTAGGAAAGGGCAAAGCGGGGATTGGGCAAAATCTCATTACATCTGCTCTAATCGCTTAGCAACACAAAGCCGGGGCTTGTGCGAGGAAGGGAAGCCTTTCATAACGCTCTGACAGGCCGCATTCAGCCAGCATTAGTCAGCTCCATAAATCACCGCTGCCCATTGGCTGCGCCGCGGGCTTTGCAGCGGCCCTGGGCTGTCAGCGAAATACAAAATGTAGACCCCAGCGGCTAGCAATCGCGGCCTCTCCCCGGTCCTAGCCCCCACCTCACTTTCTTTTTCTTTCTTTCTCTCTCTCTCTCTCTCTCTTTTTTTTTTTTTTTTTGAGGGGGCTACTGGAGAAGAAAACTGCCTTGACTTTATTGACTGAGAGATCTTACCTATTCAAAAAATGGCCCGGAGACCACCGAGTTAAGACTGGAGACGCCTGAAATTGACGAGGAGGAGCGGGCAGTGCAGGAGAGAAAGAAAAAAGCGGACCTGCCGCTGGCTGCCGAACTATGATCAAAGGCTGAGCTGGGGCTACTGGGCCGCACATTGCACCTCCCTGACAAAGCCTTTTAAAATTTTTAAATTGGGAGTAGGAGCGTGTGTCTGGAGAAAAACCTAGCTCAAGTTCACATCAGGCAGGCCCACCAAGGAAGAGAGAAGAAGCCGGTCTGCTCTCTGCATAAAGCAAGCATCCAAGGCATAGAACTGAGATGTAATAGGAAGGAGGGAGTGGAATGTGCATTCCCACCTGGCTTTGCTTGCAGAGCTGGGGCTGTTGGAACACAGAGGCAACAGCAGTTCAATTCCTTCCCAGCTTGAGTGTTCTTGTTTGTAACATGGGGTTGATGGTACCCACAGCAGCAAAAGGAGAAAATTTAAAGCAGTTAGCACTGGCTTGTGGGGAAGGTTACAAGCTCTATGTAAATGTGAGTGCCTATAGTTGTTATTCTTGACTTCCAGTCCTGCCTCTCGTTTTCACAGGATTGGTTCGCTGATGCATCTAAATCACAGCCTAGATTTGAGGCTTACCCGTAAACCACATAGAAAGAAGTCTGGCAGTAGATGTGGAGTTAAGGTAGGCTTTACTGGGAAGGTCAGCTCACCTTACTTCAAATGCCACCTCCTCCAAGAAGTTTCCCTGAACACTCTCTAACTAAAGCAGCTCTCCCCTGGCCACTCTTATTCTCTAACCATTCTGCTGTTTCTCCTTCCTAGCATTAACTACTATGTGAAAAAACTGATCTTTGTTTATATGTTTGCTCTCAACTGCCCCCTGTTAGATGGTAAACTTCAGGACGACAGGGACTGTACTGGTCTTGTGCACTGGCATCTCCACAGCCCCTTGCGGACATAGGTATTTGCTGACTGGATGGATGGTCTGCCCTGTTGGATGGGGAGCCGTACTGCTTATCTTCCTTTCCTCCTCCAAACCCACCTTCTCTGCTCTGCTTTGTGTTTCAGGAGGCTGGTTGTTAAGGACTTCATCACTAGAGCTCCCTTGTCTTCTGGCTTTCTGTTGGATTTGGCCAGTAGGAGGCACCAATAGGAGATTGAGAGGTAGTAGGGGAGGTAGGTTGGGTCCTTTAGATCCTTGCTCCTCACTGCTTGGACTCAGTTGCTTTAGCAATGGCTCTGCTCCTTGGTCTAGGAGCCACAGCTCTTGTCAGGAGGCCTCTCTCCCACAACAACAGATTGTGCTGAGATGTAGTAACAGCTTCTTCCCCTTGCTCCTTCAGGCACAGAGGAGGTAATGGCTTCCCCTTGTTAGTAGTCTCAGGGTGCTGCACCATTTTCTTCCCTTAGCCCCACCCACATCTCCTCTCCCCATTAAACTCTTTTCATTTACCCTTTCAAGTGTGCCATCTGGTTCTGTTGACCTTGGCTGGTGCATGGGCTATTCTCCCACAGGATCTCAGGCATGTATTAGTTTTGTGGAAGATTTCCAGGGACTCATAGGGCTATCAGTAGGAAACTAATTAGGGCAGAGGTGAACTTAGTTCTGTTCTAAACCTAACTTTGGAAAAATCACTTCATCTTTTTGAGCTAGGAATGACTTACTCCAGCATTTGCAAAAGAAGTCAATTATAGTGTTCTCTTCTGGAAAATGAGGATAATACCTTCTCTTGATAAACAAAATGAAAGGGCTTTAGAGTTGTCAATTCAAGAAATATAGTGCAAGAGATAACTACTTCTCACGATCTCCCTGAACCAGGTGGAAAAGTGGTGCTGGAAGCTTTGGCACTAAGATAAACAAAGACCATGCCTTGGTGGGGAAGCCACTCACTCATTCATTCATGCAGCCATTTATGTGCTCATTTAGAAAGGGAACAAATTATTAAGTTTAGTCACCATTTCTAGGACTTAATTGTCTTCATTTATATCTTCTAGAGTGAGCTCTCCGAGAAGCTTGTTTTTTTGCAACCTCTTTTTAAAACACTATGGATGTGTCTCTGATATATTGAATGGTCTAAACCCTATTTTCCTTTTCCAATTGTTGAGAAGTCTCTGAACTTTTTTCTCTCTGTTTCTACTCCTGGGCCAAGAAATGATTCGTTTTCGGATTCCCCCGAAATCTCCAGGTTATGAGAGTCAAAGGTAGGGAGGCACGTGGATTCGCTGATACTAACGTTCTCTCCCTGAGGCGCATGCAAAGGGATGGGCTCTAAGGCAGGTGGAAGTTAAATTCCTTCTTCCTTTGTATGCAAGATTAGGTTGTTACAAAAGAGGGTGTGTAGGTTAATGGCAGGAAGCAAGTTGCTGCGCCGAGCGCGGGCCCCGAGCGCGTGTCAGGTTTAATGATTTATTCAAGCTGCAGCGCATCCGAGCGTTGATTGGCTG